TTTCGGGCTCATGTGGATCGCCGCGATTGCGATCCCCGGAGACGTTCGTGCCGCCACCATCAAGCCCGTTGCCTCGACCGCATCGCCCGCGGGTCTCTATGTGCGGGGCACGGTTTCAGAGACGCCGGCGTTCCGCCTGACCGGCATGATCGAGACCGGCGACGCCGAGAAGTTGCGTGACATCCTGGTAAGGCTGCAGGCCGTGGCGCCGGCGAAGACGAACGCGCCGCTGGCGACGATCGAGCTGAGCAGCCTGGGAGGAAGCCTCGCCGAAGGCATCAAGATCGGCCATCTCCTGAAGAGCTACAGGGTCGTCGCGGTCGTCCGCAAGCAGGACCTCTGCCTCTCGGCCTGCGCCCTGGCGCTGCTGGGCGGCACGACGGTCCGCGCCGCGGCTTCCTACCCTCACGATTGCAACGTCGAAGTGGGCGGCAAGGTCGCGTTCCACAATTTCTTCCTCGACCGCAGCGAACTGCGGGAACTGACTCACGACGATCCGGTCGCCAGCCGGCTGCAGGGCTTCGCCGATGCGCGTGGCGGTGCGGCGATGCTGATTCGGTATGCCGCCGACATGGGGCTGCCGCCGGCTTTCGTGGCGAACCTGATGGCGCGACCTGTCGAGGAATACCAGTATGTCGAGACGATCGGCGAATTCCTGGAGTTGAACCTCTGCCCGATCGGGATCGAGCGGCCCTCGCTGCCGATGTCCCACCAGGCGGCGAACATCTGCAACAACTCGCTGCCCGCGCCGGTGTCTGTATCGTCCATGATCGTCGGACCGATCGCCCCTCCGCAGGTTCGCCAGTACATGCTGGAGCGGGTCCAGGATGGGCTGAATGCCGCTAAGGCCAAGGGACGGCTCGTAGATCAGCTCGCCAACTGGTCGGTCATGCGAACCAAGGAAGAAATCGACAAGCTCTACGACGACCTGCGTGCGGCTGGCGTCGCGCTGCCGGAAATCGTGGGGCCGACCTTCCAGGTGGCCGTCAATCAGGGCGGGCGCTATCGCGCCGCCTGCTATGTCAGCCTGTCTTCGACGGATCCGGACAGATACGACGTCGTCCTGCAGGGCCCTCGCAGCCTCACCGACGCGACACGACTTCCGCCCGTCAATGCGCGCCGCATGTTCCTGTACGATCGCCGCGATGTCGCCAACCAGCGCCCGGCATCGATCAATCGCGACCTCTTCAACGTAGAGCCGCGCGAGGTCGAAGA